GCTACCTCTGCTCCAACTGCTCCTGGTAAAACCAACACCCTTAACCCCCCAACCCCCAAAACAGATCCATTTGCCCCTCCATCAGGGTTCATTCCCACCAATAAACAGATGCCTATGAAGAAACCAGAGGTATTGATCACACTGTTTACTTGGCTGCATGGATTGCTGTTTTTCACTTAACTGTGTGAGGAGTGCTCTAATGTGAATGGCGTGTACTATTAGTATTAAGATGAACCACTTTATAGTCTGTATGTAGTCTGTATTTTCTTTTTTCCTAAACATTTTCTTTGCATGTATCCTAGTGGTTTGTAGCTCTCGGAAGTGGGCTTTTGGTTGTTTGACAGCACCCTTCTCTTAGGCTTCTAACTCTGTATCTGAGTTGCCTTTCTAGTCTCTTTGTATTTAACAGGTCTGCGTTTCCCAAAAGCCACCAATGGAGCTACGATCAACTTAAGCTTATGATGCTTTTGGGAAACACAGCCCAGATCAGCCCACAACTTGTGGTTCCTTAATGTTGTTACTGGAAAACCAACTTTAGTATGCAGATCTTGCAAATTAATGAGATTGAAGACTGTAAGTAAACTAAGCCACTTAAGAGACCCACAGAGCCATTTACTAGTTTTGATTAGACAAGATTAGGAGCAAAATACATCTGTGTGGACATTTTTGTAAGATCATGGAATGTTGTTACTGGAAAACCAACTTTAGTATGCAGATCTTGCAAATTAATGAGATTGAAGACTGTAAGTAAACTAAGCCACTTAAGAGACCCACAGAGCCATTTACTACTACTTTTGATTAGACAAGATTAGGAGCAAAATACATCTGTGTGGACATTTTTGTAAGATCATGGACAATAGATTTTATGGATTGGATACTGGTTTTGTCGCAAAAAGCATAGTGTTGTGAATGCTGTATGGTTGATTTGGAGTAGTTTGGTTCTAGTATTTCAGATCAGAAGAAACTAATTTGTAATTGGTTGCATGGTTACTAAGTTCAGTGTTCAGTCCCTTAAACAATACGTTTGTGACTTTGTGTGTGGTTTGGACATAATATTTGAAGGTGAAGACGGCCGTACGTATACCACCAAGACAAGCAGGGAGACCTTCTCCTGGGAGAATTTTTAAACCCTCTCTACCAACCTTGTCTAAAAAGGTGTGTGTGTGTGTGTGTGTGTGTGTGTTTTATTAAGATCACACTCTGCAGCAGTTAGATGATATGCTGGCTCAGCTCTGCAGGAAGGGAATGTAGCATGGCTAACATACACACTCATGACTTTGCTTTCAGTCAAGTTCTGTGTAGAGCTTTTACAATTTATTCTTTTGAATAAATGAATGTTGGCTACTACATAACATTACTCAATAACAAAGCTATGTGCATAGTCTGAGTTAGACTCACCTCTTCTTGGTGGTCTGACCTATAGGAGAGTCCGCCACTGAGTCCCACAGAAGAAGCACAGAGACGGCTGGAGAGGATCTTCGCTGCACCTGTAATGCCTGTCCATTCCTCCTCTTCCTATTGTCTTCATTTGTGCTTCCTCATCTTTTTCATCTGACTCACTCTCTCACTCTCTCTGATGCTAAAATGTGCTGTTTTACATGGCTCTGACTGCACTGGCTGTAGACCTATAAATAAAGCACTTTAAAGCTTGATAGCTGAGTGAATACTCATGGGGAAAGAGTTTAATACACTATATTGTTAATGAGGACAAGGGATTTTAAGGACATTAATGTGAGCAGAGCAACTACATAATGCCCTTGCATCAAAAGGTTATGAACTTAGTCTCTTTATAAAAAGGTTATGGCTTAAGTTTATTCAAAACTATAGTGAACCTGCCTACCTAGACACCGTAATGGCAGTTCCATAAATCTCTTAAAAATAGCTTTAGGCAAAGTTTTAAACAAGCTAGCCTAAGACAAAAACTCAACTCAACTCAAACTCAACTTATTTATTTGTGTAGGTTTCCCCCCCAAAGTTTCAAAATGGCAGCCAGTTTGAGGGAATCTCTGTTTACACCAAACATTTAATTCTGAAAAGCATTCAGAAATGTTCTTTCTCATAAAAAAATTCTAAAAATCTTATTTAAAAACTATTTTACCCAACTTTTTATTTAAGCTATGTTTGTTTGTTAGTGTAGCATATTGTTAGCTTAGCAACAAATGGTAATGCCACGCTACAGTACTGTTTTTTTTGTGTGTTATTTGTATGCCGTGTTTACCACAGAGGGTTTCAAATCAATATTTTTTGCCTATGTAGAGAGTAAACAACAAAGCAGCTCACTTGGTTTTGGAATAGGGCTTGTATTGTAGTCTGTATTATGGGCTGCTCTGCTACGAGACCAAAAAAATTGGTGTTTTCCCCTCTTTGAAATAGCTCAAACTTCTGCTCCGATGTCTACCCTGTTAAAAAAAACCAACGTATGCTGGTTAGGTATGTTTTGAAGCATGGCAGCTGGTTTGAGTTGAGCTGTCCTGAGCTGGTTATATAAGCTGGTTTAAGCTGGTCATATGCTTGTCCTCAGCTGGTCCTAAGCAACTAGCTCCTGGACCAGGAGCTCATAACCAGGACCAGCTTATAACCAGCTCAGGACCAGCTTAAACCAGCTGCTATGCTTCAAAACATACCTAACCAGCATATGCTGTTTTTTTCAACAGGGTGCTGAGCTTAGTTGTCGTTGTAGTTTTTTTTGATAAGTCTCTTAAACCCCATGTATCTGTTTTTATAGTCCATTTTGTCCTTCCTATAACACCATCTCATGCACTTTCAGCTTTTGCTATGTGCTGCAGTACAACTTTATTATCTAGCAAATAGTTTTTCATTGGTTCAGGCATGCCCATCTCACCTCCATGTGCCTGCTGTCCTTTCATCTGTGGATACATGTCTCATCTCTACCTTTCTCTCTCATCCACCGCTGTCTCTGTGGCTGTGATTGTTTGACTGGCTGGTCTAGCTGGAACCTGTGGCCAGTGCCTCTGCGTCGTCTCAGGTACAGGGCCCCTCTGGGGATGGCTCTTCCCCCACTTCGCCCCTCCATGGCTTGGCCGGAGTATGCGCTCGCGTGGCCTGTTGGAGTGTAAGCTCTCTGTTCCTCTTTCTAACCGACCCCCACCCTCATACATGGCTATATATGCTTTTGTGCTTGTGTTATCAACCTAAAATAGATGCTTACATTTTTATTAAGACAAATATGTTGTCAGTTTAGCTAACTGAACTTGATTTATTTATATATCATACAGTATCTTTGATAAAAGAATTGCCTGCTTGTTTATTGTGTATGAGTGGTCATTTTAAACCAGTGTTGATGCAGTGCATGGTGACTCAGGGTTAGATGTAACTGCATGAAACCTTCAGTGTGAGAATGAATTGGCTTCTGCTGCCCCACTGATCAGCTTATAAGTGAATAGCAGTGGATATGCTCTTTAATTGGTGAAGACTTTGATTTATGAATATCCCTGTTTGTCTCCTCATGCCCCAGGCTCTGAATATTACCTCATCTATGCATTACCTCATATCACCAACATAGTGTCTATATATATCCTTGTATCACCTTTCTGTGTTAACCATGCTATTGTTAGCATAAATCGTGTTATGTTCAGAGATGTTTATATCTTTATTTTAATATAGTCACATACACCATTGTGACTTTTAACAAAAATGTAGCTGTAAAAACTTGGGAAAATCTCTTGAAAAATGTCTGCCATGTTTGACCAAGGAAATATATACATGTAAATGTATGTATATAATATACATAATCATTAAAAGTAATACAAATTAAAATATTATTTGTCTTTTTTTATAAAATATAACCTTGACTTGTTAAATATGACCTGCTCTTGACAGGTTTCATGAGATTCTCCCTGCTAAATGTTTATTTTCCGAAGGGTGACCATAGTGCCTTACGCTGATATATCACATGATCAATAACCCTTTTTATTCACAGGATGCTTTAGATGCTCTGTGTGTGGAGCTGAGGCAGGCTATTAAACTGATGAATGACTGTGTTTGAGAGGTTGCACGTTATAACGTGTTATGATATCTAATGCTGCTCTTGCCCCCTCATGCCGACCTGCCGTCTCACAGGGACAGGTGGAGGAGGATCCCGTGGCAATCCTAAAGGCAGACCATGCTGCTGCCGCCCATCCTAAGGTCTGCTTTCTGCTTTGTGTGCACCGTAGTTGCATTATCCCACCCTTGACTTGTCGTGTCAAACTTGCCTTTGTGTTGTGGAGTGTTGTGCTCGCACCCATCTCATTTCATTGACAACAACCCTTGCCGTAGAGCCATGATTGAGAGAGATGCTCAGAGATAGCAAAACAGACAATCTGGGCTCACCTAACATTTAATTAGCATTGGATTGTGGTTAACTGTGCTGTAGTGTTTTCTACCCTTCCTTCACATGTGCCACTGTACTTGTAGAGTGTACCGGTTTATCTACAATAATAACATCATATACTAACCAAACACCAGAGCAGAGAAGCTTGTGAACTGGAACACAATCAATGGATCACTGATGTACTATCTCTCACTGTCAGCCCATCACAGCAGTTCACAGGGTTCATGTTCAAACCAGTGTGTGTAGGTCAAGCATGAGTGCAGTGGAATCAGACATGCCCAGACAACCAGAACATCAGGCTTGTAATCTGACCCCATCCATCATTTGACGCCCGAGTTGGCTTCATCTACACCTGCCGTTAAACTCTTCCCATCTTGCATGACCGCACAAATAATTTTAAGCTAATTTCCCACTGTAGACATTGGGAAACTGTTTTTTTAACTGATCTGGGACCTCTTTGTACTCTAATTGTTATTCTGTCAGCAGAGGTCTCAGATTAGGGTAAAAAGAAAATTTTTGTGTCATTAAATGATAACAGTCTTTCTCTGATAAGTGTGGACAAATGAATGCATGGAGTGGATTTGAAGCATATCAGTGATGTTCCTGTTCAAAAGACCTGTGTAAAGCCATAAATAATTAGTTTGACTGATGTTTCTCTCCTTCACAGGTGAAAACAGAAGAGCAGATAGCAGCAGAGCAAGCATGGTACGGTTCGGAGAAAGTGTGGCTGGTCCACAAGAATGGATTCTCTCTGGGTTAGTACGAAAGCCATGCAAAATGAACTCAGAGTATTATTTTAAATTGAAGACAACAGGAAATGGCCTTTTCTACTCATTTAACTTCCATAATTTGAAATATTCCTATGTGAAAATAGAATATTGAGCTAGAGTGGAAGAGAAAGT